TTCTATGACCTGACTTGAGTTTAGTATGGCAGAGGTGACTTGAGCAGAGTAAGGATACCTCTCTGCACACGAACAGCTCCAGTGGTAGAGTCGTGAACATGTTCAGCCCGAAACAGAAACGTGCTACATTGATTAGGGTATCGTTCTGGAATGTTAACGTCACTAAAAAAAATAGGTCCGACGAATGAGGTCTTACTGGTGAAAAATTGTTCACTTGTCAATAGATATCAAGGTCAGCCAACTTGCAAAGGTAATATGGAGGGAACCAACATATATTTCCCCGTGTTTTGTCGGTGAAGACTACGTATCCTGAGATTGCCAGAGTGCAACATGCAGCGAGCGACAGCAGTGTCGAAATGTGCGTCACGATAGCAAACCGATCGAGTGTAGGAGTTCGCAGGCTTCCATAGATGAGAAGAGAGTTATGGTGACACACTGGGACGTTGCATTAGCTGATGATCCCACCAATTTCCAAGGTATTTAATACCAAAGGCGAAGCTGATGACCCCAATTGCTTGGAAAACACCAGGCTCAATGAAGGAGAACCTCTTGGACGGGTCGCCTTTGAGTTCAGGCGAAGTATTGGGGCTTTCGATCATAACGGAGGTGACGATGATGAGCATTCCGACGAGAGCCAGGCCTGACGCTCGAGAAAGTTTGTGTATGTCACGGTAGAGTGATAGTGGAAATGATACACAGATGGTGCAGAGTGCGATGACGAAGTTGCGGTTCGCCAGCAGGGATAAAACAGGTACTTTGTACAGCCCAGGGAATATCGAACGGATGACATGGGGAATCGTGTCGCCGATAATTATTCCGAATGCACACATTCCTTCTGAGATTAATAGGTGTTCCATTGCGCCACAACGACGAACTCACCTCCGAAAGCGAATGCAAATTGAAAGAACGATACCGCCGCTCGGCCACTGGAACCGAAGCAATGGTTCATAATATCAATGTAGGAATGCGTCCCGCTCATCTTGGCATTTATGACGATTAACCTGATGGTCCAGTCTGTGACCCCGCACAGCACAACCAGAAGGAATAGTCCTGTAAAAAAGCCAGCCTGGCTCACAGCATACGGAAGGCCTGTAAACAAGTATGAACACCTGGGCGTCAGCACACGTAGCATTGTAATTCACCAATAATTCCTATGCAGTATTTTGAGATCAGACCTTTGGTGCTAAAGAGTGCACACCTGCTCCTAGAATAGAATTTGCCATGTTGGCTATTGAATCCAGCATCCCGCCTCCAGCTATTCGCTTGGCAGCAAGCTCCTCGAGATCGACTTCGGCCTGGTGCGATACTTCGTGACCGTTCGTTTGAAGAAGAGGGACAGACACGTCAAGGCCACCACGAGACGCCGAGGTATCGAACAGTCCGACAAGAAGAGGCATAGTACGGTCATTGTACCCTCGGGGGACGCGAACCTGAGCGTCTTCCAGTGATTCATCAATTTCATCGGTATCCTGTTCAAATTCTACGGTAATAAAGACATACGGCTTTCACAGGAGCGGACGCACTTACCAGTTTCGCGACTGGCTATCATCGACCTAAGTGGAGGTGCTATGACCTGGACACGCTCGTCGAACCGTACTCCGTGATCGCGTCGGTTGTCCGCGTTGTCCAATGCAGTGGAGTCCTCCTCCTCGTCCGAGTCGATCTGGAATATTGTGTGGTCATCTTCCACGTTGTCCCGAGAACGCGCGAGAAGGGGCTCGTTCGCCTCTGTTCTGCGCTCGTTATGGTTAGATTGGCCGAACATAAGGAGAGGCGGCAGTCGTGCTTTGCATCAAGAGTGGTGGTACAGCTGCAATAGCGTGGCACCCGAAACCTTTTGGGAAGTATTTTTCGCCAGAAAATACCAGTTTAAGCTGTGAATAGTCCCAAATTTTTCCAGTTAGTGTGCCCGCGGCGACTGAACAATCCTCAATTCTTTCCTCATCACTGCACGCGCTGCGGGCAGGATCCCGCCTAATTATGTTTCTCGTTGCACTTTGCCTAACTTCCGTCGCCTCTCTTGTGGCCGCAGACAGCCAGACTCCAGAGAGCTTGGCCGCAAATTTCGGTCTTAGTACCAGGCAAGTCCTGCCAAAGTTGCGCTGCTTTGTGCTGATCCAGCTCCAGCACCACGCTACCCTTCCCTAGCGCGACGCAAAGCAGCAGCGACACGCAAGGTACGTCGCGGTTTGCTTTGCATGGCTTCCGGTCCCAAATGCCGTTCTCCAGCTCTGCTCGCCTCGTCTTGGTCGCTCAGCAAGGGCCGCATCCAGGCATGTTCAACTAGCATACTTGGACGCACTATCCGTCTGATCTGCTGACAGAATGGCGACGACGATCTTAGCTTTGTCGACGACCCATTCCCGAACAATCCCGCGCCAGGGTCCACCGCCTCCCCCGGTCCTGTGCTTCAAGTGACCTACCCTGCCGGCAGCTTCTCGGGAAACACGGGCGGCGCACAGTTCTATAGTCTCTGGAATGCCTCGCAAATGCCCTTTCAATCGATGCTACTTTCGTATGAAGTCGCCTTTGACGAAGGTTACGACTGGTGAGCAAGAATTTTACCGTTGCTAAACGAGTAAACAGTGACTAAGCGGGCATATCGAAGGGTAAAAGGCGGGAAACTCCCGGGGTTGCGAGGCGGTGGACCCAACGGCTGCTCAGGCGGAAGCCCTTCCGATGGCATCGATTGCTTTAGTGCCAGACTCATGTGGAGAACCAACGGCGCAGGCGAAGGTCTGTGGCCTGGCATGCTTTTGCTTAAGCATATTCCTGAGACGCGATGCGACTGCAGCCTATACATACACCCCTACTACCAACAACATCTGCTCCGACAAGAATGTCATCTGCAATTCCGATGACTTTGGGACGTCACTCTCACGAGGCTCGTTCACGTTTCTGAGCGGCCAGTATGAACTCTACATTTTTTTTCTTTCGTAGCCCCAACTCATTTGTTCAGATGGAACCACGTCGCCATACTCGTGCAGCTCAACAACCCAGTAGACGTTGCAAATGGCAACATCGAAGTATAGTTTGTGTTGCTCGATGCACGGCTTCCTATATGCCGTTGAACTTTCCAATAGTTTCAACAATGTACAGGCGCTTGCCCAGCAAGACATGCAAATACGCGCCGCGTCTAACCTCAGCATCAACGGACTGTACTTTTCGTGCGTTTTCCTCTTCAGGCGTTGAACCTGGCTGACTTGTTACAGGACGTTCTTCGGAGGTGCTCAATCCCCCATTGCCATGTGGAATGTTTCTGATGTCTGGCAGGTTCTGACTTGAGTTGGGCGACCCCGAACACGACACATACCTACTTCCGCAACATTCAGATGTGGGCAGGCACTTCGGCCTCTAGTTTGACGGGCAACAAAGTCAACTCTGCGATGAGAAAGCAGCCGTTGTTTGCTGTGCTCTTGGCCGGTCTCTTTCTTGGCCGTGTAGGGCTTGTCATGCTATAGTGGAATCTCGTATTTAGACTTTTGTATTACTGACTATGGACGCTGTGTGTTTACCTCAGAGGATTCTATTTAATGATACATAGCTGTGAATGGACTTGGTTTTAATATCTTTTTCGATTTAGAGGTAATATCGTCATCTAAAACCGCCCACCCTTGGCCAGCCACGCCTTCTGCTGTTGACAAGTTGCGTTGGTGCAACCCGGGCACCGGAGACCGAGCTGGACGCTCACGGGCCGCCGATTTTGGGAATATTCGCGGAGATGCTGGGTCGCAATATCTGCGAGCGCCCGAATGAACACGGGCGAGTCGTTCAGCGAGTCCGCTCTGTAGATCTCGATGCCATGCTGTAAACAAATGTACTCAGTCGCCGACCCGCAACACTGTTGGACACGAAACAGAAGCACCTCTTTAGCTTCTTTGATATACTCCAAGTCGATCTCATACAGCGTCTCGATGTGGTCGCTCGTGAACGCAATGGGGACAATGACAACCTGTTTCTTGCCGAGACGCGCCAATCCTTTTATCGCGTCGCCGGTCTGCATCCCCATCCACGCAGAGGGCCCGACCTGCGATTGCCACACCAGCCGATACGGGTTCGACTTTTTTAAGCGGTCCATCACTGCCGACACGGAGGCGGCCACCTCGAGGATATACGGGTCCCCGCGGTTGACGACGGACATGGGCAGCGAGTGCGCGGAGAATAGTATGACGGTCTCGCCCCGCGTTTCAGCGGGGAACTTTGCCAGGGCGCGTTCGATGTTTTGCGCGACCGCCTACGACATTCGTCGATGAATTTACATTTGAGATGGCGAAACGAACCTCGACGAATCCGGGATGTGTGCCCCAGCGATCAATAACACTCCATTCGATTTCCGGGTCGACTTGGCCCGCTTTGCCTTTGCGGAAGAGCTCGTTGAGGCTGCTCCCCGTCGTGCTGCAGCTGTACTGTGGGTACTGGGTGAATGCAATGGCGCGCTTGACGCCGTCCGCCTTCATCTCGGCCGCGGTTTCCGCAGTCAGCGGCCGGACGTATCGGAACGCGACGTACGCCTTGTGCGGCGCCGTCTCAGGGTGCAGCTCGTCGAGGAGGCGGGCCATCCCCTCGCCCTGGATGCGCGTGTACCGCAGGATGGGGGACCCACCGCCGATGTCGGTGTACTGCTGCTCGATCTGTGGGGTACGGCGCTTGGCGATCCACGGCGCGAGGAAGCGCTGGAACGGGAGCGGGATGAGGTCCCCGTCAGCAAAGAGGTTTCTGAGGAAGTCGTGCGTTTCGGGGACGGTCTCTGGGCCGCCCATGTTCATCATGACGATTGCTGGGAGCGAAGGCGGTCAGCGGGGTGCGCAACGTGTTCGTTCTGTAGACAGCTACCTGTTGGGCTGTGAAAATCAGAAAGAGACGCGAGAACGCGGGCGACGCCCACCTTTTACCAGCGGCGGGAGAGGCGTATGCGCGCGTGAGGGAGCGGGACAACATGGATGTTCTGTGCAACATTGTTCGGCGCGAGTACGGCAGCAAAAAAAAAGAGAAAAAGGAAATGTCCGTGGGGTGGATCGAACACCCGGCTCCTCAGATCGTCACACCACAATGAGGTGATTTAACCACTAATCGACACAGACCGACAGAAGGTCTCCCAATCGTCTATAAGCCTGCCGCAATCCTCCTCAAGTCAGCCGCGACCATGTGGCCTCATCCCTCCTCATCCGCTCCACGATGAGGAAAACCTCGTACGCACTGACCGCCCTCGCAGTCGTCTTCACTACTGTCCTCGCCGTCCTGTCCCTCACCCGCGTCGACTGGTATGCCCTGACCCCGCCCACTGCCGTCTGTGCTGACGCGCCCAAAGGGTTACCGCAACATACCAGAGCGACACGCTCAACTCGAGCTATGAGGCCAAGTACGGCCTCACGCGAACCTGCGCCCGCCTCGTCGTGAGCCTCCCAGGCCGCGGCTCCCCGCGCTTCGAGAACTTCGAGTGCCGCCCGTTCCCAACGCGCGACGAGGACGCCTGCGACGGCGAGAACCGCTCCTTCTGCGCTGCGTGGACGAGGTGCGTGTTCAATGCTACTACTCATAACGGCAACTCACAAGTCACGCGCCCAGTGCCGGCTACATGGTCGAGCTCTCGATCGGCTTCGGCGCACTCGCGCTCGTGGCGATCGCCATCGGCGTGAGCACCCACTCGCGCCGCCGCCGAATTTGGCGCGCCGCCGCGGGTCTCGTCGTCATCCACGCCCTCCTCCAGCTCGTCGCGTTCAGCATCGTCGTGGACCTCTTCCGCACCGCGCGCTACCCCACCTTCGAGGACGCCAAGCTTGGTGCGTTCCTCGCTCTGCAGCTCACGGCCCTGACTGACTATCACGCAGGCACCGCGCTCTGGCTCGGCGCCCTCGCATGGGTGGCTGGCATCCTCACTGGTATCACCACTATTGTCACCGGCATGGCTGCAGACCGTGGCAAACACTGGGCCGCTGGAAATCGCGCCTACCAGCCCATCGAGGGCTGATTATCTCTGCATTCTTCCATTCTTCCATGTTGCAAACACGATATTGTCCTGTATATGTACTGTACATCTTGTATCACTCCATCCCATTCCGCATATTCGCAAACCTGCTACCTTCGTAACGCAGCCAATTCAGCCTCCTGTCGGGTTCACCCATTGCCGCCTGGAGCACTTGCACCAAGCTCGCGCCAGGCTGCGCGGTCTTCCCGTGCCCGTCTTCCATCCCTTCGCGCGCGCTGCCCTTGTCCCCTGTCATTATAGTAAGTTCCGCCGCAACTGCAGTGCGTTTCAAACATATATTACCGCTAAGCTCCCACACCATCGCGCCGCCGAGCCTCTCCCGTGCGATCCACTCGCCCTTCCACCGCGCTACCTCGTCCGTATCGAAGCTGACCATCTCACGCGTCGCGTAGTCGTACGACCAGCTCGCGACGGCCGCCTCGTCGCGAAAGACGTGTGCCCCCGGCAGCGGCAGCGCGCGGTAATCGTACACGCCTTGTTCCCAGCTCCCCTGCCCGATTCTGGCGGTAGGTGTAAAACGACTTGCTGGGAGATCTTTACAAGAGCATACCCAGAAAACGGTTTCCCGGGGCCGTCCGTGTTCATAAAAGACCGGCCGTAGAGGGGCACGCCAACGACGACCTTCGAGCGCTCGACGCCTAGTATATATATTAACGAATCAGTAGGTAAACGTGAAGACCAGGTCAAACCTTGTGAGATGTACCAATCAATCGCCGTCGACGCGCTGATGGGCCCGCCGAATATGTTCGCCTGGTGGTTCGCGATGCTGTCCCATGAACCGGCTGTACGAAGAATGAGAAGTCTGCCGATGCACTTGAGCTGCACTGACAAAAGTCGTATGCCATCATGTTCCAAAAGTCCAGGTGCGGGTCCATCTCTGCGACTTTGAGCTTCCGGTAGTTGTCTGGGCCGCACGGCGCCGCGATCTGCCAGTGCGCAACGTCAGCGTCAGGAGTGCTTCGGCTCTTGCGGGAACACGGACGGTGAGGAGGAACCTGTAGTCCGCGTTTTTTGCTCGGGCGTGCGCGTCCAACGCAGCCCTCAGCTCGCGCAGCAGCGCCGCATACCCGACGGCCTGCTCTTCGTTGGACGGGTACTCGTAGTCGACATCGAGCCCGTCGAGCCCGTAGTCCTCCAGCAGCTTCACAGCGGACTGCACGAACCGCGCGCGGAGGGCTGGCGAGACGACGACCGGGTGGAACTTGGGGCTATATGTCCAGCCGCCGATAGAGAGGAGGACTTTGAGGTGGCGCGCCTGCTTCTTCAGTTTGTATAGCGCTTTGAAGTTGCCTGAAGAGAAGGAATTGAATAAACCAAGGTTTAAATAACCACGAGGAGGGCGCACCGTAAAGGTTGTCTCCGCTGTCATTCCAGGAGTCGCCGGGATAGTGGATGTCCTTGTCTGCCCAGTCATCGGACAGGACGACCTCGCCTGTTTCTTGGTTGATATTCGCGAAAGCATACAGGATATGGCTTCGGCTGCCGTTAGCCTACATGCGCTGTGAATGGCCAAGGAATCCTACGTCAAGTCGTGGGGGATCAAGGATGGCGGAAACTTTCGGCCATAGATGCCCCTGGCCGTGTGTTCAGCACACATTCACAGAAAACAGGGACTACCAGGTAGAAGCACCAGTTCACAAAGCTGCGTGGATGGGTCAAGCTGGCCGAGCTGGGGGCACGGATGGGACGTACTAGCCAACGGTGTATTTCCCGTGGTTCATGTTGGAGTCAAAGGACATGTGGTTCAGTAGAAACGGTTGGTTCAACCAAAATGCAAAGACAACAGAGGCGAGGATAAATGCAGCAGCGAGGACAGGTCGATTCATGCGAGTGGGTTCACACCAGACTCCAACTTCGGTCACTCCCCAGACACCTCAGCCTCGGTATCATTTGAATATCCAAACTATATACAATACAGTATGCGCTCTAGTGTCAGTCTAATTGTCCTAGCATTGTCCAAGAAGAGAAGATTTCGGAAACTTCTGCCCAAAATCATTGCGCCAAGTAGTTAGGTTGGGGTTTGTGTATGCTTCAATATATCTGCGCAACGCTTCAGCATCGTCTACCAAGTCCTTCGCACTCACGTATTAATGTAGTCCTGCGTCGGGAAACCAGGGGGTTCGCATCCAATATTTACGGCGCTTTTCGGTTGGTACACCCGTATGTAGTCGCTGTCCAAACAGTTAGGCGCGGTCACGAGCAGCAGTGCCACTTACATGGCGAGATGACAGGGAAATGGCAAGTGTGCCAAGTCCACCTTCCCAAAATTCGTCGACATGCCCAGATTCGCTATGATGTACTGCGCCAAATAATCAGCAAAAGACACGCGCAGCGCAGCTATCGTACCATCGGTTCCTGCGAAACTGCCCGTGCAGAAATTTGCGTCTGGTCATCGGCACCTACTCCGCCCCCTTTAATCGTCCATGCTACTTTGTTGTTACTTATCCAGGTGATGTACTGCATGCATTTAGACACGTATGCAGGAGCCAACTGAAAGCCACTCACCCCATCGTCAAAGCCAGGCTTGTACTGCCAGCGTGTCAGCCTACAGCCTCCAAAGCATGTCGCGCACCGCCCTCACCTCAAATCCATACACCGAATAGCACCCACCAGTCCCCTCGTAGCACAACGGGTCCGTGTTCGTCAGAATCGACGTCGCCTCCTGCGTTATGCTCCCCCGAAATGTGTTCATCAAGGACACCGTCGGATCCGCCAGTATGTAAAAGTCCGACGAGTTGTGCCACTCGTACGCCTACGTAATTGTGAGCTGTGAAACTCGACGTTGTCCGCTACACGAGCTTACCGCATCAAACGGCGCCCACTGCGCACTCTGCGACACCTGTGGCACAAGTTTCGAATCGATCGACGTTATCTGCGCCTCAAACACATCGATTTCCGGCGCCGCACGCCCCACGTACGACCCGTCCGAGTGCGTCGGGCCAGGATGGCTCTCCCCAGCACACGTGCACCGCGAAAGCCGCTGGCCAGGCAGCCACGAGAGCTCCCCGCCGTGGCCCGTGTCGCCGTTCACCGTCGCCGCGAGTGGCTGCCCGTTGAGCGTCTGGTTGGGCGCCGTACCCACATCGCATGCATCTTGGAGCTATGCATAAGTAACTGAAAATAGGCAGAAGGGAGAGAGACGTACCGTATGTATACGGCCACATACCCTCGAGCGACGCGCCGTACCCTGCCCTGCCCAAGTTTCCCATTGTCCACAGCTAAAGAACGATTCAAATCAGATGGCGAAAGAGCAGTGGCGAACGCACAGCAGGCCAGAGCCCCTGGACGTTGTTCACTCCCGGAAGTCTCACCGACGCCTGCACACCGCATTTAGTATCAGAGTGTCTTTTGTTGTTGACAAACCACCTCGATGTATCCGCCGGTGAAGCAAAATTTATTCCTGAATTACTCTTTCTTAAAAAGAAAGTCTTCCCAAAATATCAGCCCAGCTCACCATGTTGTGATCATGCCTGCAGACCGATTCGTGTGAGATGCATGGGGCAACTGCATTGCACAGAGCGCACCTCCTTCATAATTTAGATCATGCGTCTCTTTTTGCGAGAGTGTTATGATCAGAGACCCTCCCGAAGTCGTAATGGCTTCAGGGTCATACCACTGACATAGACAAGATACATGACTTGCAACTTTTGAACCAAATGTTCACGGACCTCGAGGTTATTCGTGGCCTGCAGACAATCATCATAAGTCGCGAACGGGTTTGGCCATCACTGACGCACCCAGTAATGTAGATCGACCGCTTCCCAATACGGGTCATCCCCTTGACCATTGCGACATCAGTCTCAAGTTTCAATAGAAAATGGGTACAACACCCTACCGGGGTAAAACGACCGCCCGTCGGTGTTGAATTCGTCGGAGAACACCTAGAATGGGTTCAGCACCAGCAGTGATAAATCCGACGCGTAGCGAACGGACGGACCAGTTGCATCTCCTCGCCGCCCACCCATGACGCCTTCGCGTAGGCGTCCGCAGGGGTTTCCGCGTCTATTAGCCCCCAATTTCCAGGGATGCCTGGGACCTGGGATGGGAAATGAACAAATGCACAATGGCGAGGGCGCGCAGCAGCGTACTTGGCCA